AAACGGCTTGTTGGAGCTCCTGCCCCCACTCCCTGTGAGCCCAGTGTGCTCTGATTGGTCGGGACGTTGCGAGGCTCGCTGCTCAGTGAGCTGGCTTACTGGTGTGGTTTCCGGGTCGGCGATACAGCGGGACAACGGGAAACTCATCCTGAGCTCACACAAACACTCACAGCCGAATTAAAAACAATAAGTGTGGCTTGATATTGAGTAAGAAAAAAGTTTATAAACGCTGTGAGAATGGGTCTGCGGAGAGCATTTCTCCGCGATCCCAACTCGTCTATTACCAACCAGGGAGCTCTATGCAGGTCAATGGGACTCCATGTTAGTTGAAAATGTACTCTAATGGCGCATTTCCATTGCAGCGCGTAGCTCGCTTTAAGCGTGCCGTGTCGTGCCGTCCACTTTTTTGGTTGTGCTTCCACTAGGCCTCGTTCCGGCGCGGCACGGCGCGGGGCCACTTTTTCCCCTCTTTTCTGGCCCTAGAAAATTGTGGTTCTATCGGGGCCAACAAACAGGGCTGAGTCGGGCTGAGTATGCTAAACTAGAGAGAGGAGCGCTGGCAAGAGGGCTAGAACTACAACAAGATGGACATATTTGACCGTGATTTAATTGTAATACACGTTTCAAAATGATGCCGAAGTAACAACATACTGATACCGGTTAGTAAAAACCATGAATTAATGCTTTGTCAAGTCTGCAGACAGACGGCAGGGGAAAAACCTTTTAAAATGCGTGTTTTTCTAGATGGAGATTGGCTAAGCTAACGCAGTATATGCCCCGACCGTCCACACTCACAACAACGGCCTATACAGACATAAATAAGGCAGCGACTGTATTCACCATGACACAGGCAGTCTGTGGTGTGTACTTGTTTAACTTTTGTCGAGTTTCTGAACATATATAAGGAGCTGTGAGCTCTGAGTGCTCACAGCTAACGGCTGTGTTGTGTTTCTGGATTTCTCATTGAAGATGACGTCACGGCTCCGCCTACACTGCGTTACTATAGTAACTACCCCAGTTCCTAAACTGTAATGGAAGCGCAGCATGAAGTGAGTCGGCCCTGTTAAGGCCCAACGCGGCCAAGCCGTACCGAGCCGTACCGAGTGTGGCCGAGGCCGACCGTGTAGTGGAAATGCGCCATAAAGGTCCTGGTGTGTGAGGAGCTCCACGGATTGGTCCATTTTGGTCATGCGGTTCCCGGAAGAAACAAATGGAAAAAGAGAAATCTCCAACGAAGCGTTCTGGGGCAGCATAGACAGGTCTTTTCTGTGTTAGAGTTTTACTCGCTACAGGGTGTACTTTGAGGGTTTGTGACTCTGCAGACCGTTTACATGCATAAAAACCTTCATAACACACAAGGGGACGGGTAATAACCAGAAAAGCATGACATGGGACCTTTAAAAGAATATTTTTACGAAATAATCAGTGGATTTTAATTGAAAACTCTTGGACTCCATGTCATTTGGCCCAGTTACTCCAAATCTATGCAGTATTTTATTGTAATACTTAAGTGAAGAGGTATTCTTATATTTGATAGTAGTTTTATTTATTCAAACACACACACACACACATCTCTCCTTTTCCTCTCTCAGTGTTGTCTGGTTAGCTAATGTCATCTGACCTAGTTAACTTTTCTGCCAGAGAAATTTAAATTCATTTAATTGAATTCATACACTAAATATAACATTAACAAACATGTGTGGTGTTCAATTCTTTAACATGTTCTGATTTGTGTCAAACATATAAAGTAACTCTTAGCTCAAAGACATGATTGTACAAATGTGTTCTTTATATGTCAGTAATCTCGCAGACACCAGGGACCTCTCCCTGTATTAGGGACCAGGATTACTGCTTAATACAAAGCAATGACCTGATCCCATGTCCCCAAAGAGACTGATGGAGATTATAGGTATTTTTGACAAAAAGACTTCCTAAACTGGATCATAGGGAAAAAAGGCAGTATGTGAGATGTCATAGCAAATACATCAGTCAAAATCCACAACATATAGAGGTTTTATTCGACAAAATATTTATATTATTTGTTTTATGTTATACTTTTATTTTAAAAGGTCAGTGCTTACAAAATCTTAACCTCTGATTTAATCAGTTTAGGCGTACAAACTGCTTTGTTGAATAAAAGTGTAATTTGAATGGTTTGATCCTCTAACAGGTTTTTTATTAGAAGTCTAGAGGTACAAATAGTTACTGATGTAAACACAAGACACATTCAAATGTAACATAGTTCACTTTCTGGGACTGGTCTTCTATGAAATTAAGTGCATCGTTCATTTTTAGTAATGGTAAAAAAATAAACGATTATTTTAAAGAAGTATTTTCACACAGCTATGAATGGGTGTAAGAGTGGGTAGTCGATAATCCTCATTAGTTCCTTTTTTTAGATACATTTGTACATCATCATATAGTTATTTTAACCCAAAACATGACCGTTCTTTGACACTTTTCAAGCCTATCCAAGCATTAAACAAAAAATAAATAAAAAGAAGCATAACTATCACATCAGAAAATAGTACTAAAGTCTTTAAATCGGTTGAGAGTAACAGCACGAACAAATATTGCTTCCCCACAGCCCAGGGGTGTTTATTGGAAGGCATGGTATTTTGTTTTTAAAACCAAAGGAAGTCTTTGCCTTCTATGGTTTGCTTGTTCTGTCATTGACATATTTAAATAGGCAAATAAGTTCTTCAAATTAAACAACACTACTCTTTACTATGTCATTGATCAACATCCTTGTGAGCAATGGGTACAAGCAGGGTTCGAGTTATGTGGGAGCCAATGGGAGCTGAGCTCCCATAAGGAGGGGTCTGAGCTCCCACGGACGCAGTGAAATCATACATCTGTGGGGGTCGCTAATACATTGCCAACAACCATTATTTTAATCACAAATAATGCATGTGTCAATGTAATGAGTATTATTGAAAAGAAAAACATGTTTTCCAAAAGAACAACGCATCTCTTGAATAACAATATGCCTGCACTGCACCTCTTGCACAATCTATGCCTGTGAGTGTGCTGCGCGAGCCGAGATCATGTGTGTGTGCGTAGTTGAACCTTTTCATACAGGGCCGTGGTAAGTAGGGGTGCTGAGGGTGCTTGCAGCACCCCCTGATGGAGGACAGGGAATCTGCACGTCCACAAGATTAAATGGAAATATAATACAAATATAATAAAAAAAATTAAAAAATTCGGCCTTGATGTTCACATTCATAATTAAGTAAAGATAACACCCTTTTCACCCCGGTTACATTTTCCATGTGCCCTGAGAGGCTCAGTGAGGTAAAGGACTCTGAGTGTTTAGATAGTTCACTTTAGTCTAAGTTATCACAGTGTGTCTCAAACGGTTTTATCACAATTTATGTAAACAAATATTTCCAAGGCACACCTTTATAATTATTAGGATAAATAAAAACAGGTTTGAAATCATTCCAATGTATACTATAGGACAGTAAACCAACAATATCCTTTAAAACTGGAGAGATTAAAAAATATGGATAAATAAATAAATAAATGTTAACTGGTAAAATAAGATATAAATGAACCAGCAAAAATCTTGCCTAGGGCAGCAAATTGGTCAGAACCGGCCCTGGTGTCATCCCCACAGCACCCCCCATTCGAAACATGTTCCCGCGGCTATGTACAACAATACGCCCAAGCTGCCCCTCCTTTAAAAAAATGACAGCTCGTATCTACCTCATTGTTTTGTTTTTAGAAAAACAAAAACTAGGTGTGTCTTGTTCTTGTTCTATCAGATGTTTAATGATTCAACATGTCTTTACACTTTCCTGTTTAGATTCTGCCTCGTGTTTGTTCTCATTGGGCCGTATGGAACAACATGTTCTATTCCAATGCTCAATTGCTCTAGGTCGGATTTCCTACTAACGTAATAGACACTTTGGACATTTATTAATCCTAGTAGATTGTGAGTCATCACTAGGCAAGGCGAGGCAAGTTTATTTATATAGCACCTTTCAACACAAAGCAATTCAAAGTGCTGTACACAAATATAAGACAATAAGATCCAACAACACTAACATGTGTAGTCAAATTTGTCTGAAAATGATTTAGAAATGTTGCTTCATTTGGATGGAAAATTTGCGAGGCGAAAATGTACCTCACTCTTAGTTTATGAAATCATCAACTCACTATATAAAAAAATGAAAATTGGCATCAACAGCACGAAAACAAAACCGGTTGTCAAAGTAGCAGCAAAAAGAGCCCAATGTGATGTACTGCCCGCTTGTTTGTTTGAGAGCTTGAACAACTACTGACAAGTGAAGAAATGCATGGATGAAATGTTGATGTGTGGTTCAGTTGCCTCTATATGCATTGAATACAAACTGATGATTATTTGCGATGTATTTATGTGAAGCAGTATTTTATTGGTGTTGCTGGTTAAGATAAGTATGATGTAACTATTTTATAGACTAATATGTAGCTTTATCAATAATGCCGTGCCCCTTTTTTTAAGCTATTTGTTTTGAATGTATAGTAGTGAAGTGGGAGTTTAAACTAACAGAGATTTATGCCCGGGCAGCCGAAAATATGTTTTGTGTGCACACTTTTGGGCCTTTGGGGACTCCGTAGAATCACCGCAGACAATTACATTTCAGGAAGTTACTTTGAAACTTGCATGTAAAGTTTCACGCTATGTTTTGCTAAATGAAAGTTAAAACGTTTCACTATCACTCATATCACTTTGTCTGATCTCTCTCTCTCTCTCTCTCTCTCTCTCTCTCTCTCTCTCTCTCTCTCTCTCTCTCTCTCTCTCACTCTCTCGCCCTGTAATGAGTTGATTCAACTTCTTAATGTCAGTCTAAACCACTGTGGGAGTTAGATTCTTTCACTAACATTATCTGTGTGTACAGGTCAGAGAATATCACAGAGGGGCTTTGAGCAACTGAAAGCATGATAAAGAAGTTTAAGACACTTTGAACTCAAATAGCTTCCTAAATGCAGTTTGATAACTAATGCAGTTTGATAACTAATATTAGTTGTTTTCTTTAATGGGCATATGCAGAAACACATGTCTTGTTTTTGTAACATAAGACATGCTGTGTCTTCAACTGTGATTGTTGGCTAGGCTGACATGTCATAAAATCCATAGCTGTGCATGTGCAAATAGTCCTCTCAGCGGTAGAAGAGTAAAACAGCAGCCTCAGTCATCTCTTTGGAGGCGCTCCAGCCTTGCTCCCTTCCCAATCTGTCCCAGTCAAATGATGGGAAGTCCCCACATTGATCAGTGAGGAAATAGCCCCCTCCCCCTATACAGTACTGGAGACACACAGAAGCAACAGTATGTGTAACAGTTGCTTTGTTGACAGACAGTAGAAGAGTGAAAATGGGTTGAGACTCACATGTTCAGTGTTGTAAGCACGGACCGGCTTGACCCCGGAGCAGATAGCCATGGCTGCACGTTCATTGTTTATTGCTCTGAATGTGATGAAACCTGGTTCAAACTCCCCTTATATATAATAAGAAAAATACACAATTAAAAAAAAAGTACCTTTGATTACAGCAGGACACATTTTGTTTAGTAAGTTGGTGTCTTCTATTTGGTCATTCAAGGATAACATTGTTATTAAACTTGGACATTAAAGATTTCATAATTCCTGTGTTTGGATTAAATGTATAAATTAATTGTTTTAGGAAATCTGCAACAATTAGTAATTAAAGTAATTAGTGATACACATGCTCATACATGATGGTTGAAAAGCTCTATATTATCTCCATTCCACTATATTAGAGTTTTACCTCTTGGATTGGGTCCATATAACATTTTTGGTGGACTCTTTGTCTCCATGGTCATACACAATGGGAATAGCTGGCCCTCTGTTGCCGGGGGAGCCAACGTTGTATCTTACTGGATATTGCTGGAAGATAAACGCAGCATGTAGTCGTAGTAAAATATTTTAGCCTGTAAAGTAGCAATATATGTTGTAGCAGGACAGGGGAAAAGTAAACACACTCCTACAGATTCCCTGAGAAAAATGGGAGAGGCTAATCAAGAGAGAAGCTGGAGGAAAACCAATCAAGGAAATGGCACCTGTGTGCTGTTAAAAGGAGGACAGCATGTCATTCAACAGAAAGAGAAAGAACCAAGAGGAAGTCGGATCCAGCAAGGAAGAAAGTGGATTCTTATGGACTTCATCAGAGAAATCAGGCTATTTTGGGGAGTTTTGCCACTGAACCCATGCTGTTGGGGGAACATTTAACTTTCCCCTTCCCAGTTAAACCCTGCAATCCGGTGATCTACTCTGGCCTGTCACCCTCAGATAAGTTATTCTCACTACACCAATATCATTTCCCCTCCTCTTGCACTCTACACCGAGAACTTTAACTCGGACTCGAACAGAACTTTACAACTATACTTTCACACATCCCTAACCCCTGAACTACACTCTTAAACTGAGTGACAAAGGACAAAAAATACTTCTTCCCCCCCACACTCACTCACAGTCAATCCCCATGATTTAAACAATCGTAGGCTCTCGGAGTCACATACTGTAAGTGATTGATGTTTTGTGAGTTAATGTGACTTATTTGTTTGTGGTTTATATATAAATGGATTACAATTGTTGATCGGTACACTGTACAAAAAGGTAAAGCTGGAAGCAATTAAAAAATATATATATACTGCCATGTTGCCTAATCTATAATAATACATTATGTTAATTATATTTGTACTTATCTGAATTTACTATTTGTTAATTATTTATTAAAATGCTTTTAAATATACCATGGAGTAGAAAAGTACAATACATACTCTGACATGGTGGATTAACAATATGAAGGAGCATAACATGGAAACACTCACATTAGACACAAATACCTACATTTTTCTTCATTAAATATAATTAGTCAGGTTCCACCGCTGTGATTTAACATAACACACAATGCACTACAAGTTACCATGAACATCTGAAAGAGGTTTCCTCCATACAGGCGCAGAAAGTGGGTCTCAGTGTGGTAGCGGAGGATGGCTGCCAGGTTCCAGTGCTCCAGTGGGACGTTGTTGGGAACGTGCCACACAGATATGTCTTCTGCCATGATATCATAGTAGCCTGGATTCTGTGGAGGTTACACACTACTGTCAAAATGGCAACTGTGGCTTAGATATCATATTGTTCATAAACAGCTGTGCTTGTGAGATAAAAAATAAATGTATGTGCAATATTTCAAGCTTGAAGTCCATGACGCTTTCTTTATCAGTTACAAAATGCAATTTTTTGCGCATTATAGTTGCTGAAAACACCGCTTTTTACTACACTTTAGTGGAGTTCTTTTCTGCTGGTTTTATTTTTGCTGATTGACCACATACACTCAGATACTGGCTATGCAAAACAGAAGGGGCTCATTATCATAAAAGAACGTTGCAAAAAGTGCTTTTTTATGTGTTTTTGAGGCAGTAAACAGCATATTCTTTAACAACAAAAGCACGGTAAAAACCGACGTTTCAAGCAATTCAAATATGCCAGTGTAACTAATAAGGGAAGCGTCATAAAAAGCAGCATTTTAAACTTTTCCGCGGACAAAACTGGTCAGCATGGGAGACCGTGCTTTCTCCTCCCTGGGTCCACGTCTGTAGAATCAGCTTCCAGAGAACATACGGACCTCTGCATCACTCTCAGTTTTTAGGAAATGCCTCAAGACCCACCTTTTCCACACCGCATTTTACTGACTGTCTTTTACTTTATTTATTTATTTATTTTTATTTTAAACCTTTTATGCTCTTAACCTTTTATTTTTATTTTTTATATTACCGTATTTTATTCAATATGCTCCTTTTAGATATATTTTTATTTTATTTGTTTTATTCTTTTTCCTTGTAGCTTTGTGAAGCACCTTGAGATGACGTTGTTTTTAAAGTGTGCTATATAAATCAAATGGAGAAAATGGCACTGATGGCTTTCCATACTAGTACCTTAAAATCATCCGAGGTGGCGCCCTCTGCTGCTCCAAAGGTGTTTCTGTTGGACCAGTTTCCGTCTCCATCTGGTAGGTTAGCATTGTTACCCTGTTGGCTGGACCAGCGATCTCCCACTGTGCACCGTCCATAGATGCTGTTCTCATGGACACTCGCCACCAGCGTCCAGCCGCCTCCAGCTGTGGTCATATCACAGAAAGTCTGATAGACCATGCCATTAGCAGTGGTCAGGAAGTACAACCCATCTGGAAATGTCATAGTTTTTATGAGTTAAAACATGTCTTCTAGGGAAGTTTTACAGTACACATTGAATTAATCAAATACTTTCATTTTAAATTGCACAAGAACATTTGTCTAATTTTCAAGTATTGCTTACCTTCATGTTCATTGTATCTGTCTATGATCTCCTTACAGCTCCTCGCAACATACGTGGACCTGTTCCTTAATTTCTCTAAATGTTCAAAGTTTGTCCCGAGGTTTAGAGACCTCTTAACATCCTTTGTGCCTGTGATGGTGAACACATACAGTATACTGAAAATGTTATTCAAAAATAATAAACAATATAATAGTAGTGATATGGAAAAGTACAGTGTATGAGCACAATATACTTTTGTACATGCAGTTATTGTGTTTTTCATTATCTTTACCTGTTTGTATAGAGGTGCAGAATCCATGTTTCACTGACAGCAAAACAACCAAAAACAAAACTGTGAAGCATAACATCTCTGTAAAAAAAACATATCAAATATATTAAACTAGATGCAATATGCTACTGTATAACACAAACAACAATTAATCTAAAAATCATTGTCATTTAGTTAGTAGATACAATTGTTTTATACAAAAGTCTTAAGGATTAAAAATGCAACAAAAGATTGTTTGTCTATAACAAATAACAAATTATTCCATGCCCTATAAATCACAAGGTGTAAAGTTTATATTTAACTATAAAAAGTCTAAGACAGAAATCACATTTTCAAATAAAATTGAAACCTTTAAAGATAAAAAAAAAAACACTAAAACATTTTATCAAAATCAAATCAATTAAAAAACATGTCACATTCATACAGTACATATAACTTCTCATGCATCTACAAATGTCCTTAAACTAACCAGTTCCAAGTGAAGAAAGTTGTCCTTGCTGATAACATAGCTGAGGCCCATATTTATGAATACTATATTACATTTAAAATCTTGGAAAATTACAATAAAAGCTTACTTGTATCATGAAAGAAGTCTCCGAGAGCATATGAAACTAAAATCTGAAGGATTAAAATCATATTAGAAAATGTTTTTAATTGCTGCACAATTTTCTAAACACCCGAAAGACATATAAAGTCAGTGTAGCAACAGAGACAATATTTCAGGTTTGTTAAAAATACTTCTTACCGACTGAAAATCACTGTGCTCTTTAACAGTATGACCAAATGTAGATGTTTACCTCAATAGAATTGCACTGTGTTACCCTGGAGAGTAAATCCTGTCCTGGGTAAAAGGACATCCACTTTGCAGTTATAACAGGATAACTTTCCGTGTGTGTAAACATATATATATTTGTTTTTCTTATTTCTCTCCTGTGAGAGCAAAGTTTACAATTTGAGCGAATCTGACCGGCACAGATCATTAATCATCAACCAAATGTTATTTTTACTGTTGCCACATTTTGAACTCTGTGTAACAAGATGCTTTCTTGTGTTGCGATTTCAACAAAATGTACAATCCTATAGTCTTTCACCTATAAATGGTTTTAATGATAGCACAGTCTTTATGAAACAGTGCTACATCTTGCTTGTTTGATAAGAGATACAATGCAAATACAATACTCAAGACCTCTAACACAAGAAATCATTTTGCCACTTAATTTCACTTTCCTGCAAGGGTGAACATACATATTCCTCTTGAATCCTCTTGAATGTATCAAGCTTATTTTCTGACCAGTAAGACACGAACCATGACAACTTTTTTTGTTTCTGTGTGTCCCTCTCTGAACTATTTTTAGAGGTTAGACAGACACTGTGAGACACGTTCACTAATAATTGAACTGCTTCAAACAGCAGCAGGAATGAGAACCGGCAGCCGTTGTGCTCCCAGCTGCACCAACATGTGACTGTCCGCTGGAAACATTTACTTCTTGATAATGAAGTCTCTTGATATAAAGGTGTGGCTTCATTTAGCCTCTTTACAACATGTGTCTAATGTCCTTTCTATAAAACCTTCAGAACACAAAACATTTCCCAAATTGGGATCAATAAAGTACTATCTTATCTTATCTTATCTCTCTCTCTTATTTTGTTTCCACTCTGGAGATTCAGTTTTTGTTAGTTGTGTAGTCACAAATAAAAATGAGGCTGGATCAAAAATGGTCATACATTTAACATGTAACGTAATAATAATAATTATGGTAACACTTTATATTAAGGTACACATATTCACCATTAACTAGTTGTTAATTAACATGCATATTAGCAGTATATTGGCTCTATATTCAGTATTAAACACTTATTAATGCTTTATTCTATATGACCATATTCTACAAGTACTAGGCCATTAGTTCAGAGTTTTTCCTCAATAACCCTCTAATTAGTGCTTATTTATTGTAAGGAAGTTGTTGTACATGAGTTTTGGTCTTAATATGCTCAATATGGGCCTAATAAGGCAGTAGTACCACAAGAATAGTAATTATCCCATAATAACACCTAACAAATATGGTCTATTGGTACCACTTTACAATGAGACTACCCTTATAAAGGATTCCTTGCAATTCTTATGTAACAATACATGAATCTATAATTGTTGGAGGTGTGTGGCGCAGTGGGTTGTGCGTAGGTGTTCGGATCAGGGGGTCACAGGTTCAAACCCCACTGCAGTCAGCATGTCGTTGTGTCCCTGGGCAAGACACTTCACCCCAAATTGCTCCTGTGGGGATTGTCCACAGTATTGAGTAGGTAAGTCGCTTTAGATAAAAGTGTCTAACAAGTGACATGTAGTGTAATGTAATAATTGTGTCAAAATAACTAAAGATTAGGTATTTCTAATTCCCTATTTTAAAGTGAAGTCTTGTTCATAACAAATAAGCTAGTAGTTTGACTCTAATATGTTAATTAACAACTAGTTGATAGTGAATAAGTGTACCTTAATATAAAGTGTTACCATAATTATAATAATACATTTAATTTGGCAAGAGCTTTTTCACTTCACAGTGGTAATAATAAATAAATACAAAGATAAGAGATTTTAATAAAAATCGAGCAATGAAAGAACATTTAGCACAAGGACACAACATTAATCACAGCCAGTCTGAAAAGGTGAGTTTTAGTCAGTGTAGTCTCTGATGTGTTGTGTTCCAAAGGGAGGGGGCAGCAATGGAGAAAGCTCACCCCCCCCCCAGGTTTGATGCTTGGTTCATGTGGGGATAGACAGGAGGTTGGTTTCTGATGAGCGCAGGCAGTGGGAAGGGGTGTGGTGGTGGAGCAGGTCGTGAGGTAGGAGGGGGCCTGGATGTTGAGGTCTTTGTGTGTTAGAAGGTGCAGGTTTTGGAGGATGGGGGTGATGTTGTCTCGGGAGGGGTTGTTGGTGTGGAGGCGGACAGCGCAGTTCTGGATATATTGCATGTTTATTAAGGATGTTGGATGATGTGCCATAGAGAATGCTGTTACAGTCATCCAGTATTGGAGTGATGAGGGTCTCTGCAGCAGAGAAGGAGAGTGATGGGCTGTTGTTTTTGTATTACTACACTAGACAAGTAAATCACACTTATTATTAGTCAACCTTCTATGTTAAAGGTCCCATGTCATGGCCATTTCTACTGATCATAATTCCATTGTTGAGGTATACTAAAATAGATTTATATTGTGCAATTTTCCAAACTCACATTGGTTTCTCATACAGCATCTCTGTAAAGTATGTGTATTCACCGGTATTCACTCTGTCCTAAACGGCTTGTTGGAGCTCCTGCCCCCACTCCCTGTGAGCCCAGTGTGCTCTGATTGGTCGGGACGTTGCGAGGCTCGCTGCTCAGTGAGCTGGCTTACTGGTGTGGTTTCCGGGTCGGCGATACAGCGGGACAACGGGAAACTCATCCTGAGCTCACACAAACACTCACAGCCGAATTAAAAACAATAAGTGTGGCTTGATATTGAGTAAGAAAAAAGTTTATAAACGCTGTGAGAATGGGTCTGCGGAGAGCATTTCTCCGCGATCCCAACTCGTCTATTACCAACCAGGGAGCTCTATGCAGGTCAATGGGACTCCATGTTAGTTGAAAATGTACTCTAAAGGTCCTGGTGTGTGAGGAGCTCCACGGATTGGTCCATTTTGGTCATGCGGTTCCCGGAAGAAACAAATGGAAAAAGAGAAATCTCCAACGAAGCGTTCTGGGGCAGCATAGACAGGTCTTTTCTGTGTTAGAGTTTTACTCGCTACAGGGTGTACTTTGAGGGTTTGTGACTCTGCAGACCGTTTACATGCATAAAAACCTTCATAACACACAAGGGGACGGGTAATAACCAGAAAAGCATGACATGGGACCTTTAAAGGAATATTTTTACGAAATAATCAGTGGATTTTAATTGAAAACTCTTGGACTCCATGTCATTTGGCCCAGTTACTCCAAATCTATGCAGTATTTTATTGTAATACTTAAGTGAAGAGGTATTCTTATATTTGATAGTAGTTTTATTTATTCAAACACACACACACACACACACACACACACACACACACATCTCTCCTTTTCCTCTCTCAGTGTTGTCTGGTTAGCTAATGTCATCTGACCTAGTTAACTTTTCTGCCAGAGAAATTTAAATTCATTTAATTGAATTCATACACTAAATATAACATTAACAAACATGTGTGGTGTTCAATTCTTTAACATGTTCTGATTTGTGTCAAACATATAAAGTAACTCTTAGCTCAAAGACATGATTGTACAAATGTGTTCTTTATATGTCAGTAATCTCGCAGACACCAGGGACCTCTCCCTGTATTAGGGACCAGGATTACTGCTTAATACAAAGCAATGACCTGATCCCATGTCCCCAAAGAGACTGATGGAGATTATAGGTATTTTTGACAAAAAGACTTCCTAAACTGGATCATAGGGAAAAAAGGCAGTATGTGAGATGTCATAGCAAATACATCAGTCAAAATCCACAACATATAGAGGTTTTATTCGACAAAATATTTATATTATTTGTTTTATGTTATACTTTTATTTTAAAAGGTCAGTGCTTACAAAATCTTAACCTCTGATTTAATCAGTTTAGGCGTACAAACTGCTTTGTTGAATAAAAGTGTAATTTGAATGGTTTGATCCTCTAACAGGTTTTTTATTAGAAGTCTAGAGGTACAAATAGTTACTGATGTAAACACAAGACACATTCAAATGTAACATAGTTCACTTTCTGGGACTGGTCTTCTATGAAATTAAGTGCATCGTTCATTTTTAGTAATAGTAAAAAAATAAACGATTATTTTAAAGAAGTATTTTCACCCAGCTATGAATGGGTGTAAGAGTGGGTAGTCGATAATCCTCATTAGTTCCTTTTTTTAGATACATTTGTACATCATCATATAGTTATTTTAACCCAAAACATGACCGTTCTTTGACACTTTTCAAGCCTATCCAAGCATTGATCAACATCCTTGTGAGCAATGGGTACAAGCAGGGTTCGAGTTATGTGGGAGCCAATGGGAGCTGAGCTCCCATAAGGAGGGGTCTGAGCTCCCACGGACGCAGTGAAATCATACATCTGTGGGGGTCGCTAATACATTACCAACAACCATTATTTTAATCACAAATAATGCATGTGTCAATGTAATGAGTATTATTGAAAAGAAAAACATGTTTTCCAAAAGAACAACGCATCTCTTGAATAACAATATGCCTGCACTGCACCTCTTGCACAATCTATGCCTGTGAGTGTGCTGCGCGAGCCGAGATCATGTGTGTGTGCGTAGTTGAACCTTTTCATACAGGGCCGTGGTAAGTAGGGGTGCTGAGGGTGCTTGCAGCACCCCCTGATGGAGGACAGGGAATCTGCACGTCCACAAGATTAAATGGAAATATAATACAAATATAATACAAAAAAAAAAAAATGTCGGCCTTGATGTTCACATTCATAATTAAGTAAAGATAACACCCTTTTCACCCCGGTTACATTTTCCATGTGCCCTGAGAGGCTCAGTGAGGTAAAGGACTCTGAGTGTTTAGATAGTTCACTTTAGTCTAAGTTATCACAGTGTGTCTCAAACGGTTTTATCACAATTTATGTAAACAAATATTTCCAAGGCACACCTTTATAATTATTAGGATAAATAAAAACAGGTTTGAAATCATTCCAATGTATACTATAGGACAGTAAACCAACAATATCCTTTAAAACTGGAGAGATTAAAAAATATGGATAAATAAATAAATAAATGTTAACTGGTAAAATAAGATATAAATGAACCAGCAAAAATCTTGCCTAGGGCAGCAAATTGGTCAGAACCGGCCCTGGTGTCATCCCCACAGCACCCCCCATTCGAAACATGTTCCCGCGGCTATGTACAACAATACGCCCAAGCTGCCCCTCCTTAAAAAAAATGACAGCTCGTATCTACCTCATTGTTTTGTTTTTAGAAAAACAAAAACTAGGTGTGTCTTGTTCTTGTTCTATCAGATGTTTAATGATTCAACATGTGTTTACACTTTCCTGTTTAGATTCTGCCTCGTGTTTGTTCTCATTGGGCCGTATGGAACAACATGTTCTATTCCAATGCTCAATTGCTCTAGGTCGGATTTCCTACTAACGTAATAGACACTTTGGACATTTATTAATCCTAGTAGATTGTGAGTCATCACTAGGCAAGGCGAGGCAAGTTTATTTATATAGCACCTTTCAACACAAAGCAATTCAAAGTGCTGTACACAAATATAAGACAATAAGATCCAACAACACTAACATGTGTAGTCAAATTTGTCTGAAAATGATTTAGAAATGTTGCTTCATTTGGATGGAAAATTTGCGAGGCGAAAATGTACCTCACTCTTAGTTTATGAAATCATCAACTCACTATATAAAAAAATGAAAATTGGCATCAACAGCACGAAAACAAAACCGGTTGCAACCATGTTGTCAAAGTAGCAGCAAAAAGAGCCAATGTGATGTACTGCCCGCTTGTTTGTTTGAGAGCTTGAACAACTACTGACAAGTGAAGAAATGCATGGATGAAATGTTGATGTGTGGTTCAGTTGCCTCTATATGCATTGAATACAAACTGATGATTATTTGCGATGCATTTATGTGAAGCAGTATTTTATTGGTGTTGCTGGTTAAGATAAGTATGATGTAACTATTTTATAGACTAATATGTAGCTTTATCAATAATGCCGTGCCCCTTTTTTTAAGCTATTTGTTTTGAATGTATAGTAGTGAAGTGGGAGTTTAAACTAACAGAGATTTATGCCCGGGCAGCCGAAAATATGTTTTGTGTGCACACTTTTGGGCCTTTGGGGACTCCGTAGAATCACCGCAGACAATTACATTTCAGGAAGTTACTTTGAAACTTGCATGTAAAGTTTCACGCTATGTTTTGCTAAATGAAAGTTAAAACGTTTCACTATCACTCATATCACTTTGTCTGATCTCTCTCTCTCTCTCTCTCTCTCTCTCTCTCTCTCTCTCTCTCTCTCTCTCTCTCTCTCTCTCTCTCTCTCTCTCTCTCTCACTCTCTCGCCCTGTAATGAGTTGATTCAACTTCTTAATGTCAGTCTAAATAATACAATTATGTTGGTGCATCATGGCATGTGGCTCATTAAAAAAAAGTACAGCTATTATCTACCTCTTGTATAACTGGTCGGCCCCACCTGCATTAGCACAATGGACGAAACAAATACATTAAAGTAAAACCACTTTCCAGCAGTCAGCAGCACATTGTAAAAGCTGTTGATACAACTGTTCACATTCATAATTAAGTAAAGATAACACCCTTTTCACCCCGGTTACATTTTTCCATTTGCCCTGAGAGGCTCAGTGAGGTAAAGGACTCTGAGTGTTTAGATAGTTCACTTTAGTCTAAGTTATCTCAGTGTGTCTCAAACGGTTTTATCACAATTTATGTAAACAAATATTTCCAAGGCACACCTTTATAATTATTACGATAAATAAAAACAGGTTTGAAATCATTCCAATGTCATTTCATTTCATTTCAAACCTTTATTTAACCAGATTGGTCCCATTGAGATCATAGATCTCTTTTTCAAGGGAGACCTGCAGCATATAGGTTCTACATGAAACATAAAACATTAAAGGACATCATACATTATATTTACAGGATACATTTACATAGTTATAGACATTTACAAGTACCCATAGTATCAACGAGCATTTCATTTAGCCTAGCTTTAAAAACATGCAGAGGAATGAGATTGCTCAGTTTCAATTCTTGCTGAAGATTGTTCCAAGCAAGTGGAGCTGCGCACATAAAAGCTGTCTTACCTAAGACAGTCCTTGCTCTTGGCACATGTATACTATGGGACAGTAAACCAACAATATCCTTTAAAACTGGAGAGATTAAAAAATATGGATGAATAAATAAATGTTAACTGATAAAATAAGATATAAATGAACCAGCAAAAATCTTGCCTAGGGCAGCAAATTGGTCAGAACCGGCCCTGGTGTCATCCCCACAGCACCCCCCCATTTGAAACATGTTCCCACGGCTATGTTTTCATATTTAAGTTTGTAGCGAGTAGAGGGCTGCTGGCAGGCCCAGACTGGCCATCGGGAGGGCCGGGAGGTTTCCCGATGGCCTTAATGTAGGCTATTGTGAACGCAATGCTGCGCAAATGTGGGTTTGCCTCACACAGGGTGACTGTCTGTCTACATGATGTGGCATCTGTTTCATATGGGTGTTTCCATAGATCTAGTCTCTTTATTTTCCCCTCAAAATGCACCAGATTGATGCATTTAACTCCAAAATTAAAAAAATATCTTACCAGGGGGGGCATGCCCCCGGACCCCCCTAGAGGATTTGAGGTCCACCCCCAAAATATGTTCACATGGATAGGTTCCCAAATACATTTGCAATTTTTTTTAAATAGTAACCCCTGTCCATATGTTTATTGGTGTGTGTGTGTGTGTGTGTGTGTGTGTGTGTGTGTGTGTGTGTGTGTGGTGTGTGTGTGTGTGTGTGTGTGTGTGTGTGTGTGTGTGTGTGTGTGTGTGTGTGTGTGTGTGTCTGTGTGTGTTTGAGTTTGAGTGTGTGTGCGCGTTAGTTTCAAAGACCCCCATAGAGCTCAGTTTATAACTCGAACCCTGGGTACAAGCACTTCCTGATCTGTCGCAAATATCAGCAGGATGTCAGGTTCCATTAGGTTCAGGCACATTAACAATACGCGGTTCGGTTAAAAATAACTTCTTTACCATGGTTTAAGGAACGGCCACAAAATGTTGACTGTCTGTATTTAACCAGACACCAAGAATGGTCCCTAACGTTTCGTTGAGCCAACCCTTCCAATCACCCAATCCTCCTCCCACTGTAAATGTAATGGCTCTATAACTGCTTCAGACAAAATCACAATATTCCTACAGTTGCTTCAGGGCTTTGTCACTTGAATGTAAATCTGTTGTTTTTTGGGTATTTGCTGACTGGACAGATGGTTTCTTCGACGGAGAGTCTAGAATAGTTTTTATGTTACACAGTTCTGGTTACAAAGTCTTGAGTATGAGTAAAGCGTTCAGAAACTGTTGTTTTGAAAACCCATATGGAGAGGCCTCAGAGCAATAGTTACTATACCTTTGCAGGATGAAACGTAAAGTAGTCTTTCTTTCTTTCTCTCTCTTCTCTCTGGCCTGCCTGCAGCCTTGAGGGCTCATTCAAGGTGGGCAGGTGTGATCCATTAAAAGTTGCTCTAAGCGAACACACACAGCCCCCCTTGATGAAGTGAGCTCCTGTTTGGGTGACATAATAATGCTATGGAGGATGAATGAAACAAGGAGAGCCATAAGAGAGTCCATCTTAATTATGTAATCACCTTAACATTCTTCAGAGAAACGTCTCACATCTCTCTGAACTGCACTTCAGTCACACCTGTATTGACTTGTTCACTCAGTAACTCTTGTTGAACTGTAATTCCGAGACACATTTAAAAAAAAAAAAGCATTTGACCTATTAATCCTCTTGAGTATATGGTACCTATTCATACATACAGATGGAGGCGCCTACAGCTGTTGGATGTCCTATGTAGGTTAAAAGCCCATTACAACCGGAATACCTAAAGGCTTCACAACCCTCTGCAAATAGTAATACAGTGTATACCTTCTCTTTGTTTTCTCAGTCCTGTGTAGTCATAAACACAGACATGTTATCCCAGGTGCATGCAAGAGATAATACATGTGACTGATCCATGTGCTGTACTTTAAAGTGATAGTTTGATATTCTTGGGAAATAGGGTTATTCTATCACTTGAAAAGAGTAGGTTAAGAAGATTTGTAATGCTAGACGTTAAATATGGAGCCAGTTGAGCTTAGGGGGAAGAGCTAGCCCTGCTCTGTCCAAAGGCAACAGGAAACCAAAACACTTTGCAGTAGCTCTGAAGCTCAGAAGTGTGTTTTAATATTTCTTAGTTGGGAGTAATGTTAACTCTGTTGGTGTCCTGATAACTGGCCAAGTTTATTACAGTGAGTCCCTGTAAAACTATACTTAGGTAATTGTACTCATTAAAGAAAAAAAGTATTTGTGTTAAACCATAAACTAACCAGAGCTTGCTTACATCATATTTAACGGACGGACATGAAAGTGATTTCATTTAAACCAACAAAATATTTGCAGCTCAGAATAGAATCATAATTCCCTCGGCTCCATTAACACGTGTGAATCATTGAGGCTGAATCCTAACACACACTTTCATTTTCAGCACTAACAAGGAAGTCTCATTAAACAAAAATGAACAGATGTTAATCTGCAGAGAGTTCATCACACAGCATGGTCGTCAGTGTAAAAGCTTCTGTGTGTTCTCCCTGGTTGTGCCATTTTTCACAGGAACAACCTTTACAAATTATTCATGTTTGTTTCTTTCAGGGGAGAGGGGGGGAACAGAGTGCACAGCATCCATACACGATGCACAGCTGATGGGTGCAAATGTGAGTCCGTTACATAATCCCATTTCTACAGATTCAGATAAATCCTGACCTCTGAAAGCTTTCTTTACATGGTGGGGAAAGGCCTTGAATGGAAGCCACAATGCAACAATAACCATCTTCACTGGTCAAGCTGGAGTGCTTTTCCAACAAAATGGGTGACCTATTTCAAATGGTTTAAGTTTACAAGTATCTTTAAATTGTCTCTTAAATGCTAATGGCCTTATTTTATTTACCCAGATCGGAACCTGTCTGTTTGTTGTGCTGAGGTAAATGTGAAGCAGTCCTTCCGCTGAAATGAAATGTAACACTGAATTGTTGCAAGCTCACAAATGTGATAATGCGTTTTACAAAGCCTGTTGGGTAAACATCCTCCATGTGAACTAAGCTTTGCTATAGAGGCCTACCGGACGAAAGGAGGTTACTCATACATCACCTGTTTCTGCATGGTAAAATTGTGGATAATGGGGGATTTAAAAAAATAATAATTATGAAACAATTTTGTCTAGTTTATTTAGTTTCACATGGATGTTTGTTTGGATGACCAGGAGTAAATTTACTTTGCTTCAATGTCTCTTATCTACTTCAGCAGGGGTTGGATGTTCACACTATCTTCCTTCTTTGCATATTGTTCCTGCTCCCTGACCCCGCTCATTTCACTTATATCGGTATCTGCGTCAGTCTGTGGTTGTCTTTACTTTCTACAGTGTCCATCACCTGCTCAGAGGTGGTTCCTCTGTGATATAACAGGGTCACCGTTGTGTTCCCGCTGTCCTTGCTGCCCCTGGTCTTCACGGCACAGTAGACTTCCTGGTTCATGTTCAGCGGGCTCTCCGGCTTCAGGTGTCCGGCCTCGTTGCTCGCCATCACCGTCTCCACCGCCGCGCTCATCTTGGGGCAGCAGCCTTGTCCGCGGAGGCGCAACAGGCGAAAAAAGGCGTCTCTGAAGTCCGCGTTAAAGGCATAGATGACCGGGTTAAGGGACGAATTGCTCCAGCCGATCCACACGAAGACGTCGAAGGTTTTCTCACTGACGCAGTAAGGGCCCCGCAGCGCCACAGGCTCCTCTGGTCCGGGACAGAAGGGCAGAGCGCAGTTCAGGATAAAAAACGGTAACCAGCAGCAAACAAAAACCCCCATGATGATGCTCAGAGTTTTGAGGACTTTTGTCTCTTTTCTGATGGAGACTTTGAGCTCCCGGTGAGACCGATTAGGGGGCTGAGCATCAGGATGGTGATTGATAGGAGACTGATATGAGTTGGCACCGACTTCAGTGCACAGGTGAGAACAAAGTTCGGGTACGTCCAAGTGACAACTCTGTGCGTGCTCCGCTGCACGCTCTAGGGAGGAAATCATCCGGATCTGCAGCTGGGCTATCCGGTAGATGCGCGTGTATGTGACAATCATAATAAACACGGGGATGTAGAAGCTGATGAGGGAGGAGGAGATGGCGTAAGTCCGGCTCAGGCTGGAGTCACATCTCCCATGAACACCCTCAGCGTTAAGTGCAAAAGCCTCCCCAGCCGGATCACCTATCTCCGCACGGTGCCAGTCCAGCTGCACGGGGACAAAGGAGATTATCACTGACACAGTCCAGGTCACTGCGATCATCACAGAGGCCAGCATCTTGTTCATGCGCCTCTCGTAAAGGAAAGGGCTGGAGATGGCCCAGTATCGGTCCACGCTAATGAGGCACAGGTTGAGGATGGAGGCCGTGGAGCACATGATGTCGCAGGCCAGCCAGGGCTTACAGAACCCTCCAAACGGCCAGAAACCAGCCACCTCAGCCACTGCTTTCCACGGCATCACCAGCACGGCGACTAGGAGGTCCGATAGAGCCAGGGACACGATGAAGATGTTGGTTACCTTGGCGCGCAAGTGGCGGAAGCGATAAACGGCTGCGCACACCGTTAAATTGCCGAAAAGCGTCCAAATTATAAGCAGCGTCAGGAGGGAGCCGGTCAAAGCTCGGAGCGCCGGTAAATCCTCCCGGCTACCATCTCCTAATGCCAAGCCGGTTGTGTTATTCATTGCCTGGTCCCGTGTTCGGTCATATTTCAAACTTAAAAACTATAAATCCACCCATGCTCGGTATTAACAGAAAAAAACAAACGAATCAATTAGAGTGGAGAGCGCGCATCCTGCTCCAGCCAGTCTGCTCTTTGCTGCTGCTCCGAGCGCAGAGATGTGCGGGACCACAGGCATCACCAGCTGGCAGCTGTACTCACTGCTGAGTGCACAGCAAAGACGCGCAGCGAGGAGAGAACTTTCACATTATCTTTACTTTCTTTGAGCGTCACTGTTTCATATTACCTCTATTTTTCCAAATATGTTCCAAGTCACTTTCCCACTCAATAGGTGCCATTAGTGGCTCTATTGTGATTTAGGACTGAGCACTGCAATGAAAGGCACATACAGTAAAAGCACAGGCACATAAATCCAAAAGAAAATGTAATTAAATAGAATTCGATAAGAGTGAAATAAAGGAATTAAATCACGAAAATACATATTATAAATAGAAAATGAATAAGACTAGAATGGGATAAACCAAGGTAGAGCAAATCCATCAGGTTCATAATTACCTATGCTATGTGTTATATGTGTATAGACTTATTTTTATTTCCTTGTATTCATTTCACTGGACCCACTTCCTGACCTTGTTTTTGTGGATATAACAATGACCTAAATCCTGTTTTGCATTATAAACTGCTTGCCATACAGTTATTTGTGTTTTTAACTTTCATACTTTTATATTTCTATAAACAACTTTGTATTGGCCTTTTCTCATTAATTAACCCAACCATCCGAAGGAACAGAAACAATTAAACATATTCAACACATAATACACAAAACATATACAATGACGTGCATGAGTCCTGTATCTATTGCCATGGTGGTGACTCCATTGCTTTTAAGTCTGATATTTGAGCATGTTATACTCAGTCTCTGTTTTACAGGCATATGTAATAGAGAACTGTGATTTTTTTGAAGAAAAGGGGAATGAATACACTTGATAAGACTTAACATGTTTCTGTAGAAAAAATGTCTGAGTCATGAATAATTTTTAATGTTAACGTACAAATCTGCCTACATGCAAAATTGTCAGTACATTATTGCACATCATAATCTACCCCGGCGTTTTGAGCAGACATTTTTCAACCAAGGCTGTCATCATCATCAAAGTACCCACATCCCCTCCATTTGACATGGCAGGGGATTTGAACACTAACAGCAGTAAGTGGTGTAAAGTAACTAAGTATATTTACTCAAATTTTGAGGGACTTGTACATTACTTTAGTATTTCAATAGTTTTGCTACTTTGTAGCCTACTTCCCCACTACAATTCTGAGTTAAAGGTAGGGTATGTAAGTTTGAGAAACTGGCTCGAGATACACTTTTTGTTATATTCCATGGAATGCTCTTAACATCCCGATAGCAATGGCCGGCTAAAATGATTGGATGGCCTACCTGCCTGTCAGCTTTCCATCTGTGCACAAACTTATCTCGTGTCCTCATTGGTCATGTGCACGTTCATGTGTGTTGGAGGAGGGGCTCTGTAAGGAAGTGGCAGATTTTCTCCGGTCGTGTATTTTCAAATTCTAGCGATCTCGAGCCGGTTTCTCAAACTTACATACCCTACCTTTAAATAGTGTAATTTTATTCCACTACATTTAGTTATTACCTTTAGTTACTTGCAGATTTTGATTAATGATATGACATTTTATCACTTAAAGGGGACCTATCATGCAAAATGCACTTTTGTACGTCTTTTATACATGAATATGTGTCCCCGGTGTTCCAAGGAACTCACCAAGTGTCAGAAAACACAACCCTCTCTATTTTCCTCCATACCCAAATCTCTAAAAAAGGGGCTGCAACGGATCTGATACAGACTGATCCAGATTTGAACACTTCTATGTCGTCACAGAAGTGGCGCTACGGCTATTGGGCCATCTCTCCACCTATCAGGGGAATGTGGGGTTGTGCTACGGCCGGCCATTGCTGCTCGAAAGCGCTGGAGACGCTGTAGTACATATGCCAGGCCTGTAAGTGGCGCTGTAGTCTGCCACAAAAGCAGCGAAGAAGACTTGGTAACCATGGTTACCCTTCTGTTTATTCTCCGCTGTGGCTTTTTTTCTCCCTCCCCGAGGCAAGCGTTTGCTCCCGCTGCTTTAATTCAATGCAATCCCTCCCCGTTGAGGCAAGCACTGTAATTCTCTCTGGTTAGTCCACCAGCAGATGACAAACACCCACCTCTCCGCCTCTTCCAAGGAACGAGGGGACCGTGCGGCAGAGTTTCAGTTTCAGTTTCTTTCGCCGGTCAAGATGTCCGTTAAAGTTTAAATCTTCCGGACAAAATTAGAAAAGTGCCGGTCAAAGGTCTTCTTTGTTATTTATTGAGCTTTAAAACAAATGAATAACGACTCTATAGGCCTATAATAATATAATAAAACCATAGACTGTATATATAAATTAAACACGGAGGACGGAGATCTTTTTTTCTCCCCCTCCTGACTTGATCAGAGCATGGCTACCCTCTCCTGCAGGGGGGCGTGGTCTCACAGAATCAGCCCCCAGCAAACAGCACATAGAGCGAAATGAGGCATGGCTAAAATGCATGATCTGTTTGGTATTTTGAAAACAGAAACGTATAAATATACCTTATATAGGTATGGCCCTACAATATATCATTTAAATATAGCATGATAGGTCCACTTTAAATAAGACTTTAGTTTCAACTGGAGTAAATTACTAAACAACCCTGCAATATAGAAAGTTCAGTCAGACAACTCACGTGTTTTTTAATATGTTAATTAGAAGCAGCATATAGTTTGAGTTTGGCGTCTAGGCTCAGCCTCATTACTCCACAGATGTACATAGAACATTGAGTGATGATTAGATAACTATCCCCCAGAGCCTACAGGTGGAAGCTGGGGTGGTGGTGGGGCAGGCGAGCAGCAGCACGTGAAACACAGCAGCAGGAACATGAACGCAGCAGTAGCAAGTGCACAGCAGTGGCAGCAGCAGCATTAACGAGGCAGAGGCAGGCAGATCTGGCAGTTTATAGAGCGGCAAGTTAAGGAGAATGTGTTTGATTGGTTGTAAGAGGGACGATCGCGTCACGTGTTAATGTATTGGTGCTCGAGTTGACTGCCTGAACTAGCTTGCAGGCTTCGCTCCATTAATTAAAATTAGCTTGCCTTTGTCAGCTTTGATAACACCTAAATGCATCAAGAATTATGATCAAACATATAATGTATTATTCGGAATTGGGCCAATTTGTATAATTAGTACTTTTACTTTTGGTACTTTGAATACATGATTTTTTATGCCAATATTTTTTACTTTGACTTGAGTAACATTTTGAGTGCAGGACTTTTACTTTTAACAGAGTATTCTGGCACTTCTAGTTTTACTTAAGTACAAGATATGAGTACTTCTCCCACCTCTGACAGTAGTCTACCACTGAAGAGAAGACATGAAAACTGGAGGCAGAGCATTGACTGGTGAGGTGTCTCATGTTGTCAGCGCCATCGTGTGGATCATGGACACAGAGTTGCTGAGTGACGCTTGCTCTCAGCCTCCTGATTGGCTCTTCAATGTACTTTTACAGAGAACAGATGAAATTAATCACATCTATTATGCTGTCCACCAGAGCAGGGAATAGGGGTATTTTAGATGGTTGGCATGTCTCTCAGTGGTGTATATATACTGAAATCCCCCTTTGTTCCTCATTACCTTGGAACTAAAGTTGTTGTGACAGCCTGATGTACCAATGTTCCCCTCAATGATTCAACGAGGCAACAACCCCAACGTCTTCAGAGACACGGTGCAGAACGAAGCGGGCGATCTACAGATGATCCCTCATTTCAATATCTGTTCCCAATACAGTTTGGTTAATCATAATGTGTTTGGTTGTATTCTAAACAGTTAATACTTAATCATCACTAGTTATTAGAGATTTTTTGTTTATAATGTTTTATTTTTGTGTAAATATAAAACCCCATTTCTTTAAACAACTCCTGTGTCCAGTTGCCTTACTGCTTGGTCCCTATATAATATTCAAAGAGCCACGTATTCAAATGCATTTTTATGTATAATGAAGAATCAGAGAAAATACTAACTTTCAACAAGCATTTGCCAGTGGGCCAGAAATGCTTGTCCACATTAAAAAGTGATGTGGCCTCCTATCTGCTGGAGGTGCAAATAAGCAAATATTTCCATATCAAATTAAAAGGTGATGATTTGTTCAACTGAAAACCTTTTTCAGATTTGAAGAAATATTGCACTTTACATATATTTACAGTTCTAGTTTCAGTTTAAACAATCAATTACATTTTGACAATTTATTATAGGTTAAGCTTCCTAGCAACACATAAAGTAATTTAAATGAGCCCCACCTTTATCAGCTGCAACATTACAGTGATGAACATATTTTTGCGTAAATACATTTAATCTATTAATCTATGGTTTCAGATTAACAAATGTTTTTGCATCACTGCTTCTCTACATGTGACCTTTAGACAGCATTGTTCAGACAACATATTGTGACAGTGCACTCTAAATGTAATGCCCCTCATCCCACTTCCTTTCGGTCTCTCTCTCTCACACATACACACACACACACACACACATTTGCACACACACACACACAAACACACACACAGGACATGCTGCAGTGGATGAAAGCAGACTTGTTGACCGGGAACAGAACCAGATGGCACAGCTGAGTTTGGAGCACTGCTGAGGAACGCTGAAATAGCACTCAAGCAATATTTCATCTTTATTAATGGCAACAGGGTTTTGTTTGAATACAGATTTAGATGATGGACACAGAGGCAGACAGTCCAAAGCAGAGGGCGGGGAGTTGATAATCAGATAATCTCCATCATTTTTTAAAGTTGGTACTATTTTTGGGCATGGTTGACACACTGGAATCAAATCCATTTAGTGGAAATGAAATTGCTTTCATATTAATCTTCTCTATTTCCCTAACTTTAAGTGAATGGATTAATCTAATAACAATAATTCTCACTTCACAAAATAGTGTACTTTTACATTCCTACAAAATGGTGGTATGGTCACACCAATGCATAATAAAGATGCAGTTATAATGAATGTCTTTGTCTTGCAAAAAAAAGAAATCCAATGTAGAAATGTCAACGTTGTTACTGAATACAGCAGAGAGCTCCAACAGTCTCTAAC